GATACTAAGTGCATAATGTTGTGGTGGCCCGGAGGTTAACGAGCCCGCTTGTACCAATGTGACTTTTTCCGAGTTATATGTACCTTCTATGATTATTTAGACACCTCTGACATACGATAAAGGTACGCCCAAGACTGGTATGTCTTGAAATTAAGTCAAGTCACTGTCTAAGACATTAAAGTCCGCATATGTTCCCATTGTGCATGAAGTTTAAATAAATAAATTATATAGATAGCGATAACATTTAACCTGTCTTATGTATTTGTTATTTAAAAAATATGGGATAATGTTGAAATGAAATTAATAACAATATAAATAATATTTTAGAAGCCGTATGTTACAGCTGTATGTTCATAACCAATTTCAGCTTCTTCATTAAAATAAATTTACATCGAATATTCAATGACGCCTTTGATTCAAACCAACATTTTCTTATCACTTTCATTGCAAAATGCTAGAAATAAATGATGCCTTCAAATACAATGATTTTATAAGTAAAAAGATGTAGATCATAAGCGCTCAGCAAGTGATACATTAAAATGTGGCTAACTCACACTTTATCATATTTGTCTCTTTTTCACTCGCGATTATTCAATCATGCCATCCCACTCTGACGTCTAATCAAACGAGTTGTTCATGTGTGCATAAGTGTGTCGTTTTTGAAAATCGATAGTTGTTCATGTAACCTATCTACACCATTTCACCTATAATATAATTGTTCAAATATGATTTTGTGACAGGCATGTTGGCGGCTGAAGCTGCAATGGACCTCATCATATCCGGGGAGGCGACGCACGAGAAAGGAGTCGTACCCACACAGTATGAAGAGAAACTGAAAGAGTCTTATGTTTACAAGGAACTTAAGGTATGACATAATTCTTTGTGTTATGGCATAGGTAGGGAATCGAGCAGACGGATTACCTGATGGTAAGCCATTGGCGTCAAAGATAACTGCAATATCAGGTAATTCCAAGTGCTATGCCCTTTTGCGGCAGGGATTTTGAGTTGAGAAGCGATAATCGTCATTGATTGTTAGACTAGGTACTACCTAAGCTTACCATTCAACATTACTCAGCTGGCACCTGCAACCCGGCTGCCTTTTTTGGGGGTAAGGGATTTGAATATTGAGGGATTTTCGGACTAGGAAGATTAGGCCTCCGGTAAACGTGTCTACTCGTCTTGGAACAACGCTGTGGTGGTTTCACGCCGGTTTTCTGTGAAGCCGTGGTATAACTCCGGTCGAGCGGGCGCATTCGTCTTTAAGCATGGATTTCCCACATAATATAGAGTTCATCCCCCTTATTACAAAACAAGGTTTATCTTTAGTCCAGGTTTAAACCATTGAGTCGGGTTTTGAATTTTTAAACTTATTATCATCTACCTTCAATTCGAAATACGAAAACTGCCTCAATGGTTTAGTCCTAGACTAAAGTAAAACCTTGTTTTGTAATAAGGCCGAATAAGTTTTGACGCAAGCCTTTTCATTGCATTGTATGTATTGTTTCCAGCAAGTACGTAACTGCAGGCCGTCGTTCCACACGTCGCTGGGTCTGTACGGCGGTGTCGCGTACTCCGCGTTCAGTACCCTCATGAGGGGGAAGGAACCCTGGACTCTCAGCCATGGAGGTTAGTTACTTAGAAAAAGTATTAATTTCCTTGACGGATTATATTATTATTAAAACTTTAATATTAGAGCATACACTAACTGATGCTTTTTATATTCTTATTCGTGTCTCTATGTATCTTAGTTGCTAAGCCTTGTTAAGTAAAACAACATTACAGCTTACGCCATTAAGTTATATTATTAATTTTATATAAATACTATTATCTAGGTACTTAAAAAACTAATTAGGAATAAATACAAGAAAAACGATACAAAATTAAAAATCAAAATAAAAGTACTTAATACAATTGAATAACAAGATTGGTGATCATAGTAATCTTAAACTTAAAAAAAAAACATTATAGTTTAACTACCTATCATCCATCCTCTCACAATATCTAAGACATTCACGACACAGATCTATCCATCTCATTGCAAACAAATCACAATCTGGCGCTGACATCAGGAGAGAATTGAGTATAAATAAATAAAAACTACCCACACGGCCCGGCTTCGCACGGCTGCAATTTATTATTAAATGGTTTAATTATACATATAAAAAACGCATCAAAGTAAGTTGTTTGGTTTTAAAGATTTAAGCATACATAGGGATATAAGGACAGAGAAAGCGACTTTGTTTTATACTATGTAGTGATAGATGATTGTGTTGTTTTTAATTCTATATACAATATAATGTAGTAGGTATTATACTTTAACATGATTTCATTATAGATTTATCTTGTAAAATGCCGATGTTTTTATATTTAATACATTTTTCACTTATTATCAGGCGCTGATCACGCGAGACTGAAACCAGCGAAGGAATGCCAGCCCATTGAGTATCCCAAACCTGATGGAGTCATCACTTTCGATCTGCTCTCGTCCGTCGCTCTTACTGGTAATTTGTTCGAACTATCTATACAACTTAATACAATTAGTTTCCAACTAGTCAAATTCAATACTTTTATTCAAATGTCAAAAACGATACTTTTGTATGAAAAACTGAGTTATCACGTCATAGTTTTTTTTGCGTCCAATAGTTAACTTATTTATTAAAAAATAGCTGGAAGATATCTAAAATTCAGTGTTTCGATAGATCGATGAATAAAAATTTATATCATTTTTCAATATTTTATTGTATTGAAATGTCGAATTAATTTATTTTTACCTAGGAACTACTAATTCTGTGTTTATTTGTCAATATCATGCTATCTTCTCGTATTATTGATGTGAAACTTTACGAATTTCTTCAGTGTTTGTCTGTACCAGAAGTGAATAAGCTAATAATGTGAGTTGCATTAATAGCTTATTTATTATGTTAATGTGACTATAGATGGCGCGATGTATCGCGTGTTTTATTCCCGCCTGAAAAAAAAAACTCGAGCAATCCCGCCTGGAAAAAACGTGTTAAGGGTTTGATTCCCACAAAAAATAGCAAAATTGCTTCAGTCATTGTTGAGTTGTGGGCGGTTCAGACACATTTTGTAATTTATTTTTATCTGTCTATTATAAAATATCTATCTGTTATAATATGGATGTATCTATTATAAAATATGTATGGATAAATAACACAAATAATTTTTTAAACATTATTTAGGAACGAACCACGAAGCTGACCAGCCAGCTCACTTGACTCTGAAGGACGACACGGTCCCTGTAAAGCAGAACCTAGGAATCTATGACGGCCCCGAAGCCAGATTCTGTCCTGCAGGTTAGTATTTTACTAGATATTTTCTAATACGATCGCAAGCCTACAGGAAATTGAGATCTTAATAATAATTAATAGGGACCTTAATTCCTAGGTAACAGAGAATAAAGTTACCTGAGATCGGTAAAGGACGATTCTTCCACCAAGCACAGTGTTCAAGCCTGGCGGGCTACTGCGCCCAGCATTTGGGATTGTCTAACCGTGGATTTTGGATTTTTCTATATGTGTTCATTAGCGCGCTAACTTGAATTGCGATATATGATTTGCCCTATATCTCACAAGCAGAAAATCATATGACGACGTCCAAGAAGTCTTAGAATGGTTACCTGCTTAGTATATTTCATGTACTATTTGAAGAAAAACTTTGTATTGGTGCACAAGTGAAACTCTTGTGTTACAGTCAATCACATGCTACGTCGACCCATTTTTTCGGGAGGATTATCATAGAATGTCTAATATTCCTCTTGTTTTATGTGTTTGAAAATAATTATATTTGGAACAAAATCGTTTCGAAGGAATACTTTCATTAATTAGTTATTTTAGTATATTGTAAAATAAATATCAATTACAGGTGTATACGAATTCGTGCCAATGGAGAGTGGTGATGGACAACGCCTACAAATCAACGCTCAAAACTGCATACATTGTAAGTAATCTTACATGTGCTTTGGTTCATTGCAATGTGATAAACAGAAAAAACTTGATTAACTTAAGAATTTGGACCGGGTTCAAAATATCCTCCTATAAAAACTATATCATAGGAACAAAAAGATATTTTTTTAGTATTATACTCAAAATCTTGAAACCTCCAATCTTCCACAAATATTTCAAGACCAAATTAAACTAAGTCTGTCCAGACGTTTAGAGTTTTGGTGAGACTAACGAACAACAATACATTGTTTTATTATTTATACCCTTGATATTATATATTATAGCCTACTATGATACTTTTCGCCTTTAAGATAAAATATTCCTTATTCTCTTTCCAGGCAAGACATGTGATATCAAAGATCCATCTCAGAACATAAACTGGGTGGTTCCCGAAGGAGGCGGCGGCCCCGCATACAACGGCATGTAAACCTCACCATAGACAACCAACACCTCTACTATCTATTGTCTATACTGGCCGAATAAATAAAACCTCATTTTTATGTAAATGATTATATAGATATGTGTATAATAATTGTTATAAGTCGGATCATGTTTTAGATTCAATAATGTGTATTGGCACAGATTTTCTTATAACAAATCTATCTTCTATATTTCGATTCTGAGAGATTCTTCTAATTTTCTCTAAATAACTATGAAAAAGTTTTCTATGACACCATTTCTCACAACACCAAATTGTAAATTCAAAGAACCACTTGTAATTTTCAAACGTAACAATACAAGTAGCTTCTATTTTTGTGGTTGTATGAACGGGAAGGAATGTATGTATCTCTAAATAAATTATGTATGAAACAATTGACCAATGTTTGTATAGAAAATAGCACTAATAGTAAGTAAAATAGAACAGCGTAGTTCCCTGACTGGTTATTAAAAATATATCAAATTAAACTTTCCTGTACAAATCTGGTGCTGTGTAAGTTTTCATATTTAGGTATCTTGTACAATCGTGTGTATGATAATCCCAATTAGTTTGTAAGCGTTAATTTTACATTGAAAATTAAATAAATTATATTTAAGATACTAATTGTTTTTATTTCTTTTGATCGCTTCCCTGTAGACAAAAGAGGCCGATAGTGAAGCCAGTACGCGCCTGAAGCCGTCCTGCCATTGTTATTCATTATAATGAATTAACTTGTATGCCTTGCTTACGTAACTGTAACGAGTAATTTTAAGCCATTCAGGGTCCCAAAATCACAGTTAGTAACGCGCTTCGGTTGTTATATTTGTTGTCTTGTTATATCATCGGCTCAAGCAACGTGCTATTGAGTTATCAATATCAAAATTATTTATTTAGTCATTGCACGGTGTTAGGTTTTGCTTAGAATATTTTTAATCTCAATTCTGTTTATGTAATATAGTTGAAAATAAACCGGTTGATCTAGTAACAATACAGTGCCAAAGACATTTGAATCATCGTCATCAGTTGGGTGACGCTCTCTGACGAGTAAAGTCTTCGCCTCGAAAATGGATTATTTAGTTTTATTCCACGCCCTAGAGATCGTAGTTAGGTCATCGATTATAAACTAGCACAAATGGGGTCCAAGAGGGCTGATGGTCAACCGGGATTGCAGGTCAAGCGCAATAAGGTACCGTGGCCTCGGCGTTATGCAGGAAAGATTTTCGTCAGAGTCTGACACTCTCTCTCGCCTTACCATGAGCGAGAGAATTCATTTGATGATCCCCTCCCCCAAATAAACGCCTAGTCTCAGTGGCTTGTCACAGTACGAAGGTAAAATGAAACAAAAACATTTAGGTTTTAAAACAGGTTTATAACATAGAAAACGATTAGAAAAGTTATTACAAGCGTGTGTGGCAAATGCTGCAGCCTTTTTAGCGCGGACGATGACAAAATCTCGGCATCTATGTCTCTCGGCATAGGTTCCATTTCCAACGGAGGCGTGGTTGCGGATTGTGCTAGAGCCACGTGCACTGCTCGTACCTGTAATGATAATACGGTTTAACGAAGAAGGTAACATGGTAGCAGAGAAGAAAGCTTTAGATCCTCTCCTTTTTTTGTGTAGTAAGACCCTAATCATTTTAAAGGGACCGGGCTATAACGCTTTTTGATAAACGTCACATAATATTTATCCTATAAGTGCCCACTACTGAGAACTGGACTCTGACATGGATAAGGTTTGAGCGTTAATCGCCACGTTAGCTCAAGGAAAATTGGCAGTTTCACACTTATTATTAGAAATGTCAAGTCCAGGTTTCCTTGTGATGTTTTCCGCCACCGTATGGTAGTGGTGTCTAAATGATCGTAGAACAGGCTGAAAACTGATTAAAATAAACTTTGAAAAATATCTAACTTAAATAGGTTGAAAAATACCCTATCCCCAATGGTCACCCAATCCTTAAAACACATAACAAAATGCCAACAACGCACGAATCCAAAATTCTGGAGTTGGTCTATTGAGAGGTCTCAGTGTCAACAGGTGTTGACGATGGCCACCGAGTTTTAGTGAGCTAAACATCTTACAGAAGCTTTTTGCGCGCTTTTTGAAAGTTTCCCGCAAAAAAAGGTACACGAATACAAGGGCGGCGCCAAATGCTTACCATTAGGGCCTGATCGTTTGCCGCTCTAACCCAATGTTAGAAATTATATAGAAGAATTAAAATCGTCACTCAGGAACTTAATACACGTACCGCAGTTACGAAACATAGATACTAACCGTATTGTAAGTTCGTGTAGGTCGCTTCATTGATTTAAAATAAACATCAGTTGTGGGTGGCGTTTCTTCTGAATATAATTTGACCTAAAACAAAAAAAAAAAATCTGTAAAATTCAATAATCATCAAAGAAGGACAATTCAAAGTGTCGCTAAATTAGTTAAATATTAAATGGGTTAACAATTTTTAAAAAGCTTTTTTTTTGATGTACAAGTGACCCCGTTTTTTCAGGGAGAACCTACCCGACATAAAAAGTACAGAGACATCACAATAGAACACTAACCACTTCCCTTCTGGGTCTATATATGAAGTATGTAAATATAAATACCCTATTCGGGTCTCGTCGCGGTGTTCGCACGAATCGGTCGTGTTATTGTTAACGTTGAACGAGCGACTTTACTGTTTAGTGCAGGCGAACTAAGAAAGTGTGGTACGCGGTCGGCCAGCCAAGGCCAGCTACCTGCGCCGAAGTAGATGTGAATTGTTTACGAGTAAAATGAGCGATAACGAAGATGCAAGTAATGAGTTAAATAAAGATTCGATGAATGTGAATTTCGATGAGTTTGTAGAAGACGATAATAAGAAAAGGATGAGAAGTAGCAGCGATGAGGAGTGGACGGAAGTTAAACAGAAAAAGCGAAAAGAAACAGAAAAGATTGAATTATACATATCAAACAATGAAAAACTTCCAAAACAGTTTAATCTGGCCAAATTACTGAAGGAGCAAAACATCAATGATATCACACGGGTTAAATTTATAAATCCGTACCGAGTGCGAATAGAATTAACCAGTGAGATCAGCGCGGAAAAACTTGAAATGTGCCAATACTTCATAGATTTGGGATGGCAAATTCAGAGAGCTATGGAAAAGAATAAATCCTATGGGGTGATAAGAGATGTAGATCTTGATATGTCGGAAGAGGAAATTCTAGAAAATATATCTTGTCCTGAACCAGCCAAACTTTTGTCTGTCAATCGCTTGAATCGAAGAAATGTCGAAAGGGATGGATGGTCGCCGAGTGAAGCGGTGCGTTTATGCTTTAAAGGGTCATACTTACCACGTTACGTGTTTACACACGGTTTGAAAATAGCGGTAGAACCGTATGTCTTTCCAGTTTCGCAATGTTCGCGCTGCTGGAAATTCGGGCACGTTCTTAAAAGATGTCCAAGTAATAAAGTGGTATGCCCAAAATGTGGCGGAAACCATGCTAACTGTGAAATCTCTAAAATGACATGCGTTAATTGTAAAGGACAACACATATCTCTGTCAAAAAGTTGCCCTTACTTTATTAAAGAAAAGAGATTAAGAGAACTCATATCGGAGTATAACTGTACTTATAGAAGAGCTTTAACTTTATACGTACCGAAAAACGAAGGAATACATGAAGGAGAAGAAGTAATAAAAGAAATTCCAATAAATGTTTCATCGGACAAAGAGATAAGCCTAACTCCCACGGAAATTACTAATAAACATCTAACTTACGCGGAAGTGACAACGACGGCACAAGTACATAAACAGAAACCTAAACAAAGTTCTCATAAAAAACAGAATAAATCGACAGAGGAAGATTGGATGAAGTGGAATAGTTTCGAAGTAGATCAAAATGAAACGGAATCACAAAACTCATGTAAAACTGACAAAAGGCAAAAGGATGTGAGTTTCAAAGAGTTGTTACAAAGACTGCAAGAGATTATATTTATGAAAGGAAACACTACTTCAATGATTTGGAAAGGAGTTATTAAAACGTGCATCGAATGGGTTATTTTAGTAGTTGTTGACAATGTGACGGATTGGCCTGTACTGAAATTAATAATGGACTATTTTTGTAATGCCAGTTAATTGTAAGAATATTACCAAATTAAACATTATTCAATGGAACTGCCAAAGTATCAAACCAAAATTAAATGAATTTGAAAATTTGTTAATACAAGACAAGATTCACATAGCAGTATTAAGCGAAACTTGGTTGCAATCAGAAATTAGCTTTAAAATCAAAGATTACAATATATTTCGGAAAGACAGGGACGATTCCTATGGGGGGGGGGGGTAGCAATACTCACACATAAATCTATTAGAAGTCAAATACATAATGGGGTGTTATCCCCTAACCCAGGAATAGAATGTTTACACGTCAAAGTTTTTAACTGTCACCAAATTCACAATATTATATCACTATATTGCCCACCAACGATAAATATTAGCCTATTGGACTGGGAACATTTATTTTCTGGTGCAAATGAACACACTTTGCTTTTGGGAGACTTTAATGGGCATCACTCCAATTGGTCGAATAAAACTGATAGGAGGGGTAATCACATTTTTGAGGCACTGGTTAAAAACAACTTAATTTCTTTAAATACCGGGGAACACACACGAATTAAAGCAGTTAACGGTATGTTACAACAATCGTCACCCGATATTTCTCTAGCGTCATCAGATATAAGTTTAAATATCCATTGGCAAGTTTTAAATGAGACCTTGGGGAGTGACCATTGTATTATTAAAATGACAACATACTTCGAGGCGAGTAAGGTTTACATGACACGTCGGAATTATAAAAAAGCGGACTGGATAGCATATCAGAAATTATTACACGAACTTTTCGAGACGTATAAAGAACCGAGTGATTTACAAAAAAAGTATGATTTATTTGTTAGTAATTTAGACTTAGCCGCAGATACATGTATACCATATATAAAATTTAATACGAATCCTGAAAGTAATTTTAGGTCTAAGCCTTATTGGAATTCAGACCTCTCTAAACTTGTAGCAGAAAGACGTCTAGCACTCTCCAAGTTTCGTCGAAATCCATCACCACATAACCTTGAATTATTACAAAACAAAATTAGTAACGCCCAAAAAGCTATACGCAATGCTAAAAATCAGTCATGGCAGACTTTTTGTTCTTCTTTGGATCAAACTTCTACGCATAGTGAGTTATGGCAAAAAATGAGATGGATTAAAGGATACAAAACACCGAAATCCTATATTGACACGGTTCAAGCAAACGAACTGTTATGTAGTCTTGCACCCGATTTCGTATCCCGTGACGCCCCTATACCTACGTTGACTAATACATCACTTGAAATAGCTATTACGGTTCAAGAACTAGATAGATGTATAAAACATAAAGATACATCGCCTGGCTGCGACAATGTTATCTATTCCATGATAAAATACCTACCACAGAATGGTAAAAACATTTTAGTAAACTTGTTTAACCTTTTTTTTATGAACTCTTTTGTACCGAAACAATGGCGCGAAATAATGGTGGTTCCGATACCTAAACCAGGACGTGACCCGAGTCTTTCATCTTCACTCCGACCGATATCAATGATCTCGTGTATATGCAAAATTTTTCATAACATACTATTCAATAGATTAGAATGGTTTATAGAAAAAAATGAGCTGTTATCTTGTAATACAACAGGTTTTAGAAAAACGCGGTCAACACTAGACAATCTCACTAGGTTAGTATCTAAAATTCAAACCGGGTTTTCAGATAAACAAACGACCGTATGTTGCTTTATGGATCTAGACAGTGCATATAATAACGTAGATTTACATAGTTTATTCAAAATATTGGATCGGATGGGGGTAGGAATAAAATTAAATACTTATTTATGGAATTTTTTGAAAATTAGAAATTTAAAAATACAATTGGAGCACACATACATTCATAGAACTACCGGTCGCGGACTAGCACAAGGAGACCCATTATCTCCGTTATTATTTAATATAGTTACAGTAAACATTTGTAAAATCATAAAAAACGTATCGATCTCACAATTTGCAGATGATTTTATTCTTTATTACACAACTAAATCTATTTTCGAGGCAAAAAATAAGTTGCAGGTAGCTATAAATTTATTCAATGATTTGGTGCAGGGTATTGGTTTAAACATTTCGAGTGAAAAGAGCAAAGTATGTATATTTAAGAATGGTTATAAGAAAGATATAATTGATATAAGGATAAATAATAGATCTCTGCAAGTAGTGGATAGTTATAAATACTTAGGACTATGGTTGGATCGGTCACTGAGATGGGCGAAACATATAAATGAAATTAAGGAAAAACTTTCTAAATTCATTAATGCATTTAAGATGCTAATGGGATCAGGTTGGGGTATTCATCCTTCTCATTTACGGCGACTGTACATAGCAATTATCCGAAGCAGAATTGATTACGCCAGTTTTTTATATGATAATAGTTGTCAAACTCATTTAAATAAATTAATTAAAATACAAAATCAATGTTTAAGGGTAATAGGTGGTTTCATTAAAAGTACGGCCATTCATGTAATGGAATGTGAACTACATCTGCAGCCCTTGTATATTAGAAGATATTATTTAGCTAGTAAATATTTTTTGAAACTTAAGTCACAAACAGACAATTATACTTGTGAAATAATATCACAGCTCAGGCAAGTTTGTCAACGGGCGTTCTGGAGACACAAAAAGATACCACTTATAGTTAGCGTATTCGAGTCACTAAATGACATAGCAATGTTTTCAAACAACCAATTAGGTATATTTTCGCTTGATACATGGATAAGCCGAGTGAACTTGTCTTGTACAGTTAGGCCATTCATTAAAAATGTCATCAAGTCAAAGAAAGCTTATAATGAGTTGCAGCTTCGGAATTTATCCAATAATTACTTTACAAATAACTATTCCTCATACTATAAGATTTATACGGATGGCTCTAAATACCAAGACAGTGTTGGAGCAGCGATTTTTGACCCTCAAAATAAAATAACTATCAAATTGCAGTTACATTCAAAAATTTCGATCATGTATGCTGAATTAATTGCTATTGCTGAAGCCATAGCATATTTAGAATCAATAAACTTTCAGAATTGTGTAATTTATACTGATTGTAAAAGCGCACTTCAACACTTGTTAAGATGTACGGGCAATTTCAGGGGTAATCCAGTGGCTTACAAAATAATAAATTTAATTATAAAATTGAAAGAACAAGATAAAAATGTGGTATTACAATGGGTGCCTTCACATATCGGTATTGAGGAAAATGAAAAAGTAGATCAACTAGCCAGGGATGCATGTTTGAAAGGTGTGCCAGTGGAATATGAACCTCAGTTGTCAGACGTTTTATGCGAAATTAAGGCAAGAAGCAATGATATGTGGAAGGAATACTTTGATGAAAAGTCACTATCCAAAGGTATTTGGTAGGTATCGAACAGTTCAACCGACCATTAACAACCATCCCTGGTTTGACAATACCGAAATGAACAGGCAAGAGATCGTGACAGCCTTCAGACTTCGCTCCGGACATATTCCATTGAACTGTTTTGCAGCATTGATGGGTAAAGTTTCATCTCCAAACTGCACGGAATGCAATAAAATTGAAGACGTTTTGCATATTATGATGGAATGTGTCCGAAACGAAACCGAAAGATGCATGATCAATATTGAACACTCGATTAATATTAGGGATTTAGGAATTTGTAATATTATATTGGCTTTTCCGACATCTAAAGCGGCTAGATTAGTATATAAATTAGTTAATGTAGGAATTAAACGTAGATGTTAATTTAGCTTCATTCTGTTTTTAATGTAAACATTTTTTGTATAGTTTATGAATTACAATTAAGGTTACCTATGAGGGTGACATGTTCACTGCGTGATCAAACCCTTTTCAATAAATAAAGATATAAAAAAAAAAATACCCTATTCCTTTTCTCCATCCCCAAATCCCCTTATAGTCAAACAAAACAGGCCAGCCAAAACAAAAAAGACCAATGCTAAAAGGTCGGCAAAGCACTAGCAACTCTTCTGGTGTTGCTGGCCTTTGGGGATTAGAGCTTAGGGATTGGTTAGGTGTTAGGACAGGGGAGGAAGGATCGGGCTTCCGGTGGCGGTAATCTTACATAAGCAGCGAAACACAACGATGTGGTTGTTTCACGCCGGTTTTCTTGGAGGCTTGTTTTCTGTCAGGGGAAAGTCATCAGATAATGACTTATCCCGCGCAGGGTAAGGCGAGAGAGAGTGTAAGATTTACTGACTAAAAACCCTGCTGTGGGCCGAGGTGCCTCATTGCGCTTGCCCCGCAACAGGACAACCTGTGTTCTGTAAGGCTGTGGTATGAGTCCAGTCGAGCCGACCCATACGTGCTGAGGCATGGCTCTCCTACGAGTTAAAGATTTCTTACCATACTTGTGACAGTTTCTGGAGATTTTTTTTGGTACATATTGAGCGGGGTAACGTGTTGAATGAACTCCTCCATTATAAACCTGGCTCGGGCGATGACGGGCTCCAACGCTTTCATCTGCTTAGCTATTGTGACCGGCTTCGATATTGTCAAGTACTTGTTTACCTGAGAAATAAATGTAAGAAACATGCTTTCAATCTTTCTAACATACCTATGTACATATTTTCACTACATACATCTCTTCATGAACTCCTGTCGATTTTGGTAGTTTTCTATGTGAAAAACGTTTTTTTTTTACTTTTTTTATACAATATTCTTTTAAACACAAATCATACTTTTTTAAGTAATTTGAAGATGTATTTTTGCAGAAAATTTTTCATAAATATGTGGTGCGTTTTGGCGTTAGATATGTGTTGCAATATCATAGAAAAGTATAGTTTTTGCCACGTTAACATTGATTCGACTAGTTGGAAACTACCAAATTCAGGTACCAAATTCGTCTATCTGGTTTTAGGTAGAAAAATATTACTATAAGTACCTTATTAATAGGACACCACCCAAATTTCTTGGTTGTGACAGGATCGGTGACTGTCATCCAGGTCATGGCCAAAATTCTAGGGAACGTGGTATGCGGTTCTCCCATCATTACTCCCGGTGTCTTGACCAAGGAGTCCAGGTCTGGTTCAGCGTCCAACATGGACGTTTCGACCAGCAGTTTGGTCCGAACTAGTGCTTGAATCAGATCTGTCACTATGTTACCTTCGTCGCCTTCCAGATTTCTGTAAAGTACATAGTCTGGCCATAAATACTGTTACAATTAAAAATAAACAAAATATTGCATTTGAATTTGGAATCTGTCATTTTATAAAATTTTTCATTGTGTTTTCTTATTTTGGCGCCAATAAATTGTTCAATATTTTGTGATATTAAAATGGAGTGGGGTGATAAAGAGAACCGAATCGCTGTTCACACATTACACAAAGTGGGTATGGAGCCAAATGCAATTTTTAAAACTCTCCACACGCTTGGCATTAGTCAAATGTTTGTGTACCGGGCTATTAATAGGTACAATGAGACCTCCTCTGTTTGTGACAGAAAAAGATCTGGCCGTCCAAGTAGTGTTCGTACGAAAAAGGTGGTCAAAGCAGTAAGGGAAAAAATTCGAAGAAATCCTGTCCGAAAGCAAAAGATTTTATCTCGGGAGATGAAGATGTATATAACATCACCTAGAACCATGTCGCGTATTTTAAAAGACGACTTAGGAGTTACAGCCTGTAAGGGACGCACTGGACATTTTTTAAATGATAATTTAAAAAAGAATAGGGTGATAGAATCTAAACAACTACTGAAACGGTACGCAAAGGGAGGTCACAGAAAAATTTTGTTTACGGATGAGAAAATTTTTACAATTGAGCAACATTTTAACAAACAAAATGACCGTACTTATGCTCAAAGCTCTAAGGAAGCTTCTCAATTAGTCGACAGAGTGCAACGTGGGCATTATCCGACTTCAGTGATGGTTTGGTGGGGTGTTAACTATGAAGGAGTCACTGAGCCATACTTTTGCGAAAAAGGTATCAAAACATCGGCACAAGTGTATCAAAATACCATTCTTGAGAAGGTAGTTAAGCCCCTTAACAACACCATGTTCAATAACCAACAATGGTCCTTCCAGCAAGACTCGGCGCCGGGTCATAAAGCTCGGTCCACGCAGTCTTGGTTGGAAACGATCGTTTCCGACTTCATCAGAGCTGAAGACTGGCCGTCGTCTAGTCCCGATCTTAATCCGCTGGATTATGATTTATGATCAGTTTTGATTTATGGGCTTGCTCTAAACGTCATGATAATTTGGACTCCCTAAATCAATCCATACGATTGGCATTAAAGAATTTTCCTATGGAAAGAGTGCGTGCTTCTATTGATAACTGGCCTCAACGTTTAAAGGACTGTATTGCAGCCAATGGAGACCACTTCGAATAAGCTTTTTATGTTTTAAATTGTTTTATATTTATGTATCAAACTTACATACTGTAAAAGTAAAAAATGTTATTTGCAATAGAAAAATTTTTTTTTATTTGTTGCAGTATTTATGGCTCGACTAGGTATTTATTTAAATACTTTATCATAGAAAGGTTTTGTGCCTGTTGTATGTATCTCATGCATGACGATGGAAATAGGGCGCTTGTCATGTATAAGAGTGCGGGTTAAACCTGGAAAGTACCAATGTGACTTTTACCGAGATTTTATGACTCCACTGACTTAAAATAATTTCCTGAGAAGGAAAATAAAAGGCCTCTGCTCAACAATGGGCACTTATAGCATGACGATGATATGAGATGATGATGAGTTCCACACTTACAACATAAGTAAAGAACATGAAATTCTATCTTTGAAATGCCACAGCCACATAATTTCAAAAAAAAAAAAAAAACACGTGATGATGAAATAAAATTAAGTATTTTAATTTTAAAATTTTAAATTTTTTTATTTAGGTAAAAAAGGAGGAATAGGACTCACTTCAACACTTCCAGCATCAACCGTGCTACTTTGCCAGACGCTGGCCTCGCGTACGAGATACAGTCAGTCGACAGACTCCTTGCTGGAGGAGCAGGCTCAGTTTCGAATGCTGCAGCTAGTTCCCTTTGCCGCTGATCTTCCGCGGCCAACCAGTCCAATGTCAGCGCTGATCTGTACGCTGCTATCCCTGAGAGCGTGGCCCTTGTCAAATTTTGAGGATTGTAGTAGTAATCTTCCCCATTGCCCTTAAAAGAAGACAAACATATTTCATGATACTACCTATAGCTTCTTATATCATTGATATAAATGTAAAAAAGGCGCGGTAGCCCGAAAATTAAGGCCCTCGAAGTGCACAAAGGGTGAGGTTTCGAGATCTGGCAAGTGCCAATATGAGTTTTTTTAAGTGTCACAGTGAAGACAAACATCTTGAGGAAAGCTGGATTTATATTTTCTAAAGTTTGAAATGCCTAATCCGCCTTAAGCAAGCGTGGTGAACAATGCTCACACCTTCTTTGTGTGAGAAGAGGCCTTTGCTCAGCAGTAAGCACTTATAAGATAATGTGTGTGAAGTGTAAACTAATCGAACAGGAATCAAACTCAATCGAATATGCTTAAAAGCCGCTCACGACGGTTAAATCACCAACACAGTGAAAAGCAAAAGTCAAAATATGAAAAGTTTTTCGTTAAAAAAGACTGATACAAAGTTTGACGAAAAACTTTTTCAATTCCCTTTTCTTTTTAAGTCGAATGAATGTATAAATGAGTTTAGAAATATTATTAAGTTGTGCTGTACGTGAATGGAAAACATTTTTATATTAGGTTCTTAGGTACTGAAGATTGACTTATTTCTATCGTTCTTTCGAAAATAAATAGTGATTTTTGGTTGGTGAAGTTAAGTAATAAGAACTGCGTTATTAAGTATTTTTAATCAATCACTTTCGGAGAGCCCTCCTACTTTATTTCCTCAATGGTTACATGAACAGTCCTGTGATTTTTTTTGTAAACAGATGAATTACATCACTGTAAGCAATCAGCGCCGCCCATGGACACCCGCAACAACAGAGGAGTTACGAGTGCGTTGCCGACCTTTTGGGGATTAGGGATTTGGAGATTTAGGGATTGGGGAGCGATTAGGGGAAGGGAAGGATTCGGCCTGCGGTAACCTCACTCACACGGCGCAACACAACATTGTCGTTATTTAAAGACGGTTTTTTGGGAGGCCGTGGTAGCACTCCGGTCGAGCCGACCCACTCGTGCCGAAGCATGGCTCTCCCACACCCTTGCATTGCAGGTGTTCAACTATGGTAGACTACGATAACTGCATGTAACATTATAAAAGTTCGATGCAAAATGCATCATTTGCAGATAAAGTATCTACGAAATATAAGTATATCTAATCAATATTTTAACCTTTGAATCGTGGTAATTCGAGATGAGTTCGGTTCGTATGACTTACGTTCGTATTAGTTCTTTTCGTCTCGTATGATTTGCGTTCGGCTTGTATGATTTCGGTTCGGTTCGTTTGATTTCGGTTCGGTTCGTATGATTTCGGTTTGTCTCGTGTGATTTCGGTTCGACTCGTATGATTTCGGTTTGTCTCGTGTGATTTCGGTTAGACACGTATGATTTCGGTTTGACTCGTATGATTTCGGTTCGGGTCGAACTCCATAGAAAACGAGTATATTTACAGAAAATTAAAAAATATGGATTTTTTGTGACCTTTATTTTTGACAGCTGCCGACACCCTACAGTATGTAGGTTTTGAGGCATATTTTAGGATGTCCAAATAAAACTTTGTTAATACTTATATACAGTTTGGTATCTCAAATTCCGAGGTGGAACTACTTACTAAAATGACTGGACTAGCATGCATGAAGCAGGCATGGCGAATCCATAACGGTTTCTTTTTTTGTCATTTCACTATGTAAGCTAGCTCCATTCCCACGTACGTATACAAATACGATGTAAACTTCAAACTCATCTAGATAACATGGAAAGTAATAAAACCTTACTTTTATCGCTCCATAAAATGTTCAATGCATAACAAAACAAGCTTTTCCATTGGAAAAAATTGACAATATCCATTAAAAACAGACACAGGTGCAGCCATAAACTGTTTACTGTTAACGGTAGCCGTACTTCCAATAGGAAAGTGATTTTTATAGTTTATATCACACTAAATACGGCGTAATGATGATACGGTAGTAAATCAAACTTAATTAATTGTAGACATTTATTAATTAATATTTAATTAAATAGCCAGTAGCAGCGCGACAGTCGCCGAGTCGCGTGTCGCGAAATGCTGCTCATGAATATGGGCCTCTAGCATGGCTTGAAACTAGTCGAGTATCTCGTCAAATTATTACGTGAGTAAGCCAAAAACATAATAAATAATGTATTAATTGTTAACACTAGATCACATAAATGTTGAGTGTCCAATTCTTAAGCAAGCGTGCAAGATGATTATTGCTGAAACCTTCACCTTCCCGTGTGAGCCTTTGCTCCTTAGTCGCTACTTATAGGTATCTCTTTAGTCGCCCTGGACTGGACGAGAAGGACTGACTAAATACCACCCTGTTCCTTCAGTAGCTCCGAGCTGGGAGTACATATAGGCGGATGATGAAGATGATGAAAAGCATTTTAACTTAAGAGTCTGTGTTAATTTTACATACATCCCACATTACATGCCCGTTTGATTGCACGGTTGGCGCGGTGGCTGGACAACTGGCTGGCTGTAACAACTCATTGTGTGATTTACAAACTGTTGTTCCGGGTCTGGGTGTGATGTGCATGTGAAATTGTTTGTTTGTAAACGCACCCACGACACAAGAGAAAATCCTAATTAGATGTATTCTGATATTACCATAAATCCTCTTTCTCTTCAAGAATAAAATGAGTTCACGTTTTTCGAATCCAACTGCCTATTTTTTCCTGTACGTGAAAAAGTGACGATATTATCCTATTTGACTGGTTATATGCCTAAGTAATTTAAAAGATTGTCCTCAGACCCTTTATAATAGAGTCCAAGTTATACAGTGTCCACACAAACGACCCTACCGAGTTTATAACAAATCACATTTTATGTAGCGGAAAATTAAACTATCCTTGTGGCTGGAAACTATTTTATGGGACTTGAAGACCATATGCGGTCCAAATTCATTATTAATTTTATGTACGAGTAAAATTATGACGAAGGTCGCTGTTTCGGCAGTCCGGAGGTTACGGCGCCATCTTTGTGCAGTGTGGTGCTGATTTAAAATCTAGCATGTACTAATCTGACTATTTCCAACGTATAGGTACTTATTGCACTTTTTTGCCCAGTTGAGTTGGATCACTGACGAAAATATTATACTAAGAATTTTTTGATAGGAAATATAAAAAGGTTTTTTTGAGGGTGGAATCATTGGCGTTCCCTTGGTAGGGTTAGAGGGAATATCAGATTCTTGCTGTCTTAAAACCCTCACGTTCTTTCTTTTGTTCCGGATCGAGGGGCATCATAGCCGGATCTCGAGGAAAGCTAGACTCACAGTTTTAAATTTTAGATTTATCAGTAAAACAAAACTTTGATCAATTTGGAAGCACGTATCCAAGCATCGGTTCCATTCCTCTCCACCTAAAAGGAAGGTTGCTGAAGATGACGAATAGTGTAATAGTCTGATGAATTTAGTTCATCAAGCCCCAAGCGAACGAACGAAAGGTTTGTGCACCCATTGTTCTTCTATTGTGTCTCTTATTATCAAGATTAAAAGGTTAATTGTTAATTTTGACTCGGCTAGTTTTCGCGCAATGCTTAGGTACAGTTCTGTTGCTAAGTAGGTATTCAAAAAGAAGTTATGACTTACCCAAGCCCATAACAACACGAAGGGAATTATATATGAAATCATTTCAAGTACCTACATTTACTCTGCAATTTACAAGTTTTATGTGTTAAAAATATTGCGACACCACTCGGCATTTTTTGGTGACATTTCTTTCTGTCAGATCAGAGAGTTGTGAAATTAGCACAAAGAGTATTTGAGGAAAAAGTACTAATACCTAAACTTCTAAGCGCTCAAAAAGAATTACTGTTCTGAGAAAAGTTGTTAGTGACCTTGTTTTTCGCCTTGCTCACACTACGATTGAACACTTACACTTGTAAGTAATTAAAAAGACGGTAAACATGGAGTTTGTTCTATCCTCTTTTCCAAAAAAATCTATAATTTTGATCGAATAAGAGCGAACATTCTCCAAGTCCGATCGACAATTTAAGTGTGGGAAGCTGCTTCGGTACGAATTGGTCAGCTCAACCGGAGCTACACCACGCCCTCACATAAAACCAGCGTGAAGGCCAGCAACGCGCCTGTGACTCCTCTGGTACTGCCGGTGTCCATGGGCGGCGCCGATCACTTACCACCAGTGATCCTCCCTCCAGGCCAGGGCAATCAGGCCTCCTATTCCATAAAGCAAAAAAAAACAAACAACGTTGTGTTTTACCGTGTGAGTGAGGTTAAGCCTTCCTCTGCCCGAGGCCTACGCATTCCCCTGCACCAATTCTTAAAACTCCGAAATCCTAATCGAAAAGGCCGTCCACGGAGTTATAACTCCTCTGGTGTTCGGGTATCTATGTGTGGTGCCGATGGCTTACCATTAGGTAATACTTCTACTCGTTTGAAGACATATGGCAAAAAAGACAGTCACTTATACACTCAAAGTTTTGGTTGTGCAAAAGTGCCTTATTGGTTATTATAAATGACCCATTTATTTCTACCTCCTTTCTTTCGTAGTCTATGGGCCTTCTGGAGTGCTCTGCAAGTCACAGCCACTAGCGCCGCTGCGGTTAGCTATAGCCAGAATAGACGATAAAAGGTCGTTGCTGTCATTTTGACAGTTGCCATCAAAATAAAGCGAATATGGAGTAGATCGTAAAATTGCACGCGACATGTTCCCATTGGAGATATATTAACATGAAACATAGGAAGAGACGGAGATGGCTCAAAATATATGTCACGTATTGATTTGTTTGAGCTTTGTGGTTAGTATATATACAATATTTACATACACGGAGTACACGGAGTAGCAGACCCCTATCACAACCAGCATACCCATGAAAGAGGAAACCTCCTAGTTGTCGAAAATTAGGGACAGTTTGAAAGTATATCTTGGTGGTGTTAATATGATAAATCAGCCTATTGCTACTTTATCAGTTCCTAGTCTATTGCTGCTTTATGTGCTTCAATTCAGTACGAACATTTTTATTATTCATCAACCAATTCCATTACTGAATTCTTAGGTATAATATACATAATATAGGTAGATCAGTAAAAGAATAAAAACACGAATTCTACACATTATTTTTAGTAAAATCACTCACCTCTCGCGCGAAAACTACAGATGTAGTCTATAGGAACCTGTTTAAAGGTTTCATAGTGCGTGGTTATAGGGTCATAGCGCTACTGACCTTCAGCAGAATGGTATGTCAAACAGCTGGTGCTTTCGGCTGCGACAGTAATTGTTAGGAGCAACAGCAAAGATACAAAGGAATTTTTAATGCAGTTCAGGAGCATCAATTGGACCTTGAATATTTTACAAATGATTTATATTCCAATGTTCTTTCCAGTGGCCGTCTTTTTGCGTAGATATGGATTTGGAATCAGATTTTCAAGAAGACCGCTGGTTGTTCAAACATTCGCCACAGGAAGGAAAAGTGGGACATGAAATGGCATGCGCTTCGGTGCGTCCTACAGCGCGAGATATCGTCAGGCGATTCTGTGCGATTTTGCCATAGTAAGTTAATTCGTAAAACCCACTTATAATACGGAACTTTTCTGCCTGTAGCATACAAAAATGACCTATAATGGTTTTCGAAATATGTATGATATCATGTAGACTAGCCTTAATTTTAATCATGGCCATTCTCATTTAAGTAAAGATGTTTATACATAAGTAAAATGTGTAAAAAATAATTACCTTTTACATTTTATCCTCTGTGTTTCATGCAATTAGATGACAATTCGTCATTAGGTGCTTTTTGACCAAATTTATCTTTAAGCCTAACACCTGTGCACTGGTTTCTGCAATCAGATGTAAATGTATGTGATTGAATAGTCGGTCAAATACAAAAATTGGTCACTACAATTGTAAAGTAAGGGTGAGCCAGCTCGACCCGACACAGAAAACCGGCATGAAACAACCACAGCGTTGTGTTTTGCCGTGTAAGTGAGGTTACCGGAGGCCGAATACTTCCCCTTCCTCAATCCCTCGCCAATCTCTAAATCTCTGTAACCCTAGTCCCCAAAAGGCCGACTATGCACCAGTAACTCCTCTAGCGTTGCGGTTGTCTATGGACGGCGCCTATTGCTTACCATCAGGTAATCAGAAGACCCGTTCGCCGACCTATCACATAAAAAAATGTGACGAATTTTCCCTTCAATATTGTTTTTATAATTATATTCCACTAAGCCTTAACGTATACGGTTTCGAAAGTGACCATTACTGATCTCCACAATGTGCCGTGCCGTGGTTGGATGCGAAAACTTGTAGATGGAGCTGACTAACTCAGTAGTTAGCTTATTCAAAGACCCTAGGTTCATCAGTGGAAAGTCTCATGCTGGTTATTATAATATTCCAGCTTCGACAAGGATCACACGAATACGGCCTTCCTCCATAAGTTCCGTGCCACAATCAACAGCATGCCTGACAGTGAGGACATGCTGGACCGCGAGGCTGGCTTCTACGCTGCAGTCCTCACTCCCCTGGTCTTCCTCCAACAGTATCGTGATACATGGTGTCTCCTGGAACGCGTAAGTCTTGAATTTTATGAAGAAATTAAATTGAAATTAGATGAAAGAATTAAAGATAGCATTGATGCTTACGCTAGTTAGACAATTTATAGTCGTTTTTCGGAGTTTCGGGTGCTAGCAATAAGGTGGCACCTTCCTTACACAAAAAATTTCAAAGCTTTTTAAATTCCTTGTGGAAGTTTCATATGCTATTAAAATTTTATATGTACATATAATCATAGAATAGTTCTAAGTTAATTTGATTTCCTATTAATGTTTTTATTTATTTTCAGTTTCACAGGGCGATAAGGCTTTATCAAGTCTCACATCCGACTGAGAAGAGGTCGGCGTTAAAATTGCTTCAGAATTTAAGAGCAGTCAATCAGAAAGTGAGTTTTGCACCAAATATGGCACTTGTTCATTATTAAGTATACATAGGAAATGTATAATTTTATTAAGTATTTTAAAAAAAATTTATTAAGTACAGTATAACCTTTGCAACTTGATAAAATTATTTGAAAACAAAATTCATAAAAATCGTTTTCGTAACCTCGACATATAATTCACCTACATGACACCTAAGTTTGAAATCTCTAATCCGCTTTTGGATAAGCGTGGTGACTAATTCCCAAACCTTTGCCGTGTGAAAACAGGCAATTGATCGTCAATGGACACTTACGCGCTGATGATGAGATGTATGTTATTAAATTACTGAAATGCTTAACAACTCGGGAGGGGTTGGTTAAACAACTGTAAAGCTGCTTCATAGGATCAACCTGGTGTTAATAGTGAATTTTTCTATTGTAACTCGTCAGATTCGAGGATTCATTTTCGAGCTGCCAGGTCAGGAGCAAACTCCTAGAACGACGCCACCGCCAGAGGGAGAAGAAGACGACGCAATTCATGATAAAAAAGATATTAGGTATCTCAAAGAATTGATTAAAAACCTGGGTAAATATTTATGTGTTTTATTTCCTTATACATAGTTCCTTACACAACATAATTTACTTATGGGACATGTTTATAATATGAGTGGTTTTCATTTTCTGGCTCGGGTTTTGTTTTGAGGAGAGAGGGAGAAATCGTCAAAATACTTTTTTCCACCCCGAGTAGGGCGAAAGGGAGTGGTAGACTCTTACTGACAAAAATCCATCCTATTTCTTCTTAGCTCCTAATAGGTTCTGATTGGTCTTTGAGCTGCGACCCTTGCTCTATGTCATACTGCGGTACCTGTTTGAAGCAATACCTGTAACTAGGTGGTTTTTAGCCAGTAAGTCTGACTCTCACTTTTGCCTTACTCACAGAGTAATTTAAACTTACTGAAGAACATGGTAATCGCAGTGTGGCACCGCGGCCTTAGGCTAAATCAGGAGAAGGAACGGGGGGGTTTTTAGTCAGTAAGAGTCTGACACACTCTCTTACCTTACTCTGGGCGGGAGAAGATATTTGATGATTTTTACATGAAAAAGAAAAACTTACTGAACAACTTAGATACGAGTTATACTTAGTCGGGTCATAAGTTCTGTCAAAACCTTATATTTTTAATTTTCGATTACTGGCCAGAAATTCTTCGACTTATTTTAAAAATAGAACTTTCGCGCTTGTAGAAAATAAAAAAGAAATTATTTTTTATTCATTTTTAAATATGGAGTGGTCGAATAAAGAAGACAGAATCGCGGTTATCGCGTTGCACCGCTGTGGTTACGCGCCAAAAGACATTTTCAATATTCTTCAAAATTTGAAAATAACGTTACGGTTTGTTTATCGTACTATCAAACGATACACCGAAGAGTCAAGCTTCGAAGATCGTAAGAGAAGCGGCCGACCTCGCACAGTTCGGACACATAAGGTCATCAAAGCAGTGAAGGCGCGAATCGAACGAAATCCCGTACGTAAACAAAAAATCCTAGCTCTGCAGATGGGGATTTAGTACTCTTTTAACAGTGGTTCTGCTTAGCAGAACCACTGTTAAAAGAGTACTAAATGAAGACCTGGGACTACGAGCTTATCGTAAAAAGACAGGACATTTTTTGAACGAGCGTTTAAAAAAAATTAGGCTAGACAGATCCCGCGCTTTGCTACGACGGTACGCGGGAAAAAAATACCGCGAAATTCTTTTTTCGGATGAAAAAATTTTTACTATTGAAGAAAGTTTTAACAAACAAAATGATAAGGTGTATGCCCACAGCAGTGAAGAAGCAAGCGCGCGTATTGCGAGGGTCCAGCGTGGGCATTACCCTTCCTCATTCATGGTTTGGCTTGGAGTCTCATATTCAGGCGTAACTGAGGTGTTTTTCTGTGAAAAAGGTGTGAGAACTAGTGCCGAAGTTTATCAAAATACTGTCCTAACAAACATAGTGGAACCTCTTTCTCAGACAATGTTCAGGAACAGGCATTGGATATTCCCACAGGACTCTGCACCGGCTCATAAGGCACGAAGTACGCAAGACTGGTTGATCGCTCGTGGAATTGACTTCATCCGGCATGAAGACTGGCCCTCTTCTAGTCCAGATTTAAACCCACTGGACTACAAGATATGGCAATATTTGGAGGAAAAAGTCTGTGCTAAACCTCACCCGAATTTGGAGTCTCTCCGAGCATCTCTGGTTAAAGCAGCGGCAGACATAGATATGAATGTGGTGCGTGCAGCGATCGATGACTGGCCGCGTAGATTAAGGGCATGTGTTCAAAATGGGGGAGGGCATTTCGAATAATGTAAATAAAATTATATTGTACATTTAATGACCTTTCATTTCATATATAATTTTTAAATAATTGTCAAAAGGCGTATAAGTTATTACATCAAAAGTTTGTGACAGAACTTATGACCCGACTAAGTAATACTTTGTGCAGTAGCCATTTGGTGTGCTACTGTTAAAGACATCAATTAAGTAATGGTATGGATAGATGGCTAGATAAAGATGAATTTAATCAAAATGTCGATAATAGTTATTTCGGTTTAAAGGCGTAGTTTTATCAAAGTAACAGGCTAGCCATAGGACAGTGATAAAGAACATGACAATAACACAAATGTAAACTAAAGGCAATACGTTATCACAAGGGTAGAAGTATTTGTTGCTGTAAGCCAAGCAGAATGGCCCGTCTTCTGGAACCTTCTTAAAGGGTTGCTTGAAACTATGTACTTTTGCCCCTGTAGCGTTTACATACATTGTTGAAACTAAATTATTTTTAAATAAGTTCTTAACACAAACAACAGCTTCGTTTCTTTTCAATTCATTCATTTTTTCTGCGATCAAACTGTAAATGAAGAACAAGAAATTATTGGAATGGTCGGTCGATTCTTGGGTAATAAGTATGAGTGAGTTCTAAATCAATTTAATATCGAAAATATATGACTAAAGCAGAGGTTGTGGCGGGCTTGTCCATTAGGACAAGCCCGCTTGTCCATTAGGACAAGAAATACACGCTAAGGTTTACTTTCGCAGCTTTGCATGCAATATTAAAACCGTCATGTGAAACATCAACGTGCATGACCATTGGACCATAATAATATGTATAAACAAAAAGGAAAAGTCGTGTAACGTAATATGTATTAGCCCCTAACGTCTCTTGAAATTAGTCGAGTCAACTCGTCAGGCATTCAAAGGTGTGTAAGTGGCTATACATGATAATTAACACAAATAAAGTTAAAGAAGTACACACAAATCGTAGTTATTTTTGTTCCTATCATGAAATGTGTAAGAGAGCCATGCTCCGGCACGAATGGGTCGGCTCGACCGGAGTGATACCACAACCTCACAGAAAAACGGCGCGAATCAATCACATCGTTGTGTTTTGTCGTGTGAGTGATGTTGCCAGAGGCCCAATTCTACCTCTCCCCCAATCTTTGAATTCCGAAAGCCTAATCCCCAAAATGCCGGCAACGCACTCTTAAATCCTTGTGTTGTGTGTTGCGGGTGTCCATGGCGCCGATTGCCTACCATCAGGATCCCGGATCACCGTCAGCTCATTTGCCGACCTACTTCTTAAAAAATGTGTGTGTTACCTGTAAAATTTCTTTTTCTTCATGTCGTTGGCGATACTGGTAATGTTGGAATAATTATAAGCGTAAGCGATCGCTTCAACACCGGCTGTAATATCGTCCTCCATACCGCAGCGGTAGTCCGTTTCCTTTGTGTAGGCACGCAAACTCACAGAGAACAAATTTCTTCTATGTGGATCCTAAAACAAACAAAAATTTGAGTTGTTTTTTACTCCATCGTAAGTTAGGTCCAATGACCTGTTTCCTGGTTCTCACTTTCCCAGCTATCTAGCTGTATCTAAAATGGAGCATAATATTGCTTGGACCAAATCTTGTGATGGCTAAGTTTTTGCCATATTTTTGGAACTTTGCTCAATAATTTTCTCTAAGCACGTTATTTAATATGCATATCACAGCCAGACTCGGCACGTCAATTTTTGGATCACACAAAAACTTGTTCGGTACAAGAATCAAATCCGCGACATTTTGCACGGCAGCTGCTTGCCGATCGCAACAACTATGCTGTCACAATTTACGGTATTTTTTTTAATGTTCCTAATATATTTAAAGCAAAGCAACTAAAACGGCAAGATATCGACCGAAACAAAATAACCATATTGATATCCACAACGGACAAGTTTAAAAAGTTTATTATGGTACGTTTACACGCTTGCTGAGATTCGGCAAACCTCCACATATATGTGTAAATACGTCGCAAATGCTGTGTGCGCGGGAACGAAATGAGTTGATTGCCCCATCAACTTTCTACCATTGGAAAACCTGGTGTACAGGGTATCCATCCATACCACGTACATCTAAGATTTGGAATAGTTTGCCAGCAACGGTCTTCCCGTTCAGTTATGATTTAGGTTAGTCTTCAAGACTAAAGTGAATAGGCTCTTGATAAACTAGTGCACCTTAACTTACTGGCTATCAACGATTGCATCACTGCTTACCATCAGGTGGAGTTGCAGTCAAGCACTAGCTTACATGATAAATAAAACATGGAATTGGGATCATTACCTGTTTATTAAGTTGGATCATATCTGCGTCTTCTACATCCCTCAATATCCATGTGGTGTGGAGATTGAAATTGGTTATTAAGTGGTGTAAATCATAACTCTTCTTCAAGTTAGCGATGACTATCTTTGGTGAGACTTTCTTCAATATTTTTAATAGCTGAAAGTTGATTATTGTTTACCTAATTGTTGATTTTATGCTGATACCAGTGTTTCGGGTCAATTGCAATAAATGTGCCTCAACCCCGGCATAGAGCAGGAGAAGGAACGGGCTAGGTTTTCGTCAGCGAAATACTGACTTTTCCTCCCGCCCGCTAGAGCGAGAGAATATATTTGATGAACGTTTTAAAATTGTCACACTAGGATTTCTCCTGTGTCGTGGGTGCGTTTACAAACATACAAATTCACATGCACATCACACCCAGACCCGAAACAGCAATCTGTGGATCACACAAAGAGTTGTTCCGTGCGGGAATCGAACCCGCGACACGTTGCGCGACAGCCAGATGCCCAGCCACGTGCAGTCAATCTAAAAACTATCTTTGTTAAGTTCACATATTTTTTTTTATCCAAAGCTTCAGGCTATTAGAGTTTAACACAAGTCTTCGTTTCTTCCACTCTGCTAAAGATAACATTTATGTATGAATCGGTGCATACGTTTTTTTAAATAGTATATTTTTAATACTCACGCTCTCTAAACTGCACTCAGCGCCATCACATCGAACGGTAGTGTACACAATTTTTTCTCTATGCAATAAATCCGTCAATTCCTTTTCAAAATCAACGCTATATTCAGAATCATCAGACACTACCACCACTCTTCGCCAGCCAACATTTTGTATAAACTTCACAATTCCAAATTTCAACAATTGCCATGGAATTAGGTTCTTAGAATTCGGAAGACCTGTTCTCATCTCGGAGGATATATAAGGAGTTCTTAATAAGACAGTTGGTACTAATGTGTCAATTTTAGGTTCAGGCCTCAGTATCGCTAGAAGCCGATGTTGGTTATCTCTGATAGCTTCATCGCAAGAACTGTCGTCATCAATTTGTATCAAATTGAACATGAAATAGCGTTGTTTGAGGGTCCAGAAAATCTCTCTCTTTAATGACTGACAAATAAGGACAGTGTTCAAATGCGCTATACTTTTGAACTGTGGTCTGCAACTGTCTTCAGTTAAAGAATGAATGCTATCTAGGGTGAGGCTTTGAACTAATTCCAACACAGATCCGTCGTCATGTTTGGATAGACTAATGCTAACAAGATTCGCGGTTTCGTTGCAGTAGATTTCATTGTGTATTTTGGTACAGTTTATCTTATTTGGATCGGTTATGCTGCCGGCGTTCACGAAGTTATCTTCCAGTATATTATTGTTGTAATTATATGAGCCAGGAACAGCGAAGTTAATAACGTAGCTGTGGACATACAACAATATTTTTAAATAAATTACCAAGAAGTTATGTGGGAGAGTAAAGTTTCGGCTAAAATGGGTCGGCTCGACCGGAATGATACCACGGCCGCATAGAAAACCAGCGTGAAATAACCAATAACCGAGTTGTGTTTCGCTGCGAGGGTGAGGATACCAGAGGCCTTCCTCTTTCCCTTCCCTAATCCTTAAATATCTGAAACAATATTTTTTTTTTTTTTTTTTATTTAATAGGTCGGCAAACGAGCAGACGGATTACCTGATGGTAAGCAATCAGCGCCGCCCATGGACACTCGCAACGGTGGAGTTACGAGTGCGTTGCCGACCTTTCAGGGATTAGGGATTTGGAGATATAGGGATTGAGGAGGGATTGGGGAAGGGGAAGCATTGGGCCTCCGGTAACCTCACTCACACGGCGAAACACAACGCAGTGGTTATTTCACGCCGGTTTTCTGTGAGGCCGTGGTATCACTCCGGTCGAGCCGACCCATTCGTGCCGAAGCATGGCTCTCCCACACTTAGATAATAATTCCCCAAAAGGTCGGCAACGCACTCGTAACTCCTTTGGTGTCGATTTGGCGAGTGTCCATGAATTTATATACTGCTCATGGGCGGTGCCGAATGCTTACCATCACGTAATTGTTCCGTTCGTTTCAAATCAAAATCAAATCAAATTCTTTATTTCAAATAGACCAAAAAAGGCACTTTTGAACGTCAAGCAAAAAAGATATCATAAGGTTTAACTTTATGTGTCAGTCTGTCCGTCTGTCCTCTAGTGAAGCTATTTGCTCGTTCCAAAGTGTAGATTCCTATGGAGAAGAACGAGCAAGAAACTCCATGGTTACTCTTTTTCAATCACTTTTTACAATACATTGTTACATAATTTAGATAGCTCCATTATGTGAGAACAGTGTAACACTAGTGTTTAACCAAAGTATCCGAAAAAGAAATAACCCTCAGGGACAGCAACTTTAGACAGTCTCGAGTTGACCAGTCCCAATAGGCGGCGTCCGTTCACGAACATGACACGTACACCAGCACCGCCCAACTCAACCATATTATAGGGAACCGAGCGGTCCAGTGCCCGTGCCACCGCCAATGAGACTCCTGAGTGAGCATGACAACTCCCAACTGACACAAGTACCAATATACTATAAGTCTATAAGTCTAACTCAATTATAATAAGTTACAGGGCTCTCACATTTACAAAAATCCAGTTTATCAACAATCAACAACATGGTGAATAATTTAATAATTGAGATCAAAATTCCTCTTAACCTTAACAATTTTTATCCTGTGCAGTCAAACCAGCCACCCTCCAAGCATTTTTATCTTCTATATAATCATTTAGTTTGTAGTATGCTTTCCTACATAATACTTTCTTTATACATAATTTAAATTTACTTTCATTAAGATTTTGTATTTCAGTTGGGATTTTATTATAACATTTAACACATAATCCCATGAACGACTTATGCACTTTTGCTAATCTAAATAAAGGCTGACTTAATCTATTTCTATGTCTAGTAAGATAGTCATGCTTGTCAGATACTTTTACAAATAGCTGTAGGTTTTTCCTAACATACATAATGTTTTCATAAATATATTGACATGGTACGGTCATAATGTTGATCTCCTTAAACTTTTCTCCGAGAGATTCGCGACGACCTAAGTTATAGATAGCTCTGACTGCACGCTTTTGTAAGATAAAGATAGACTCAACGTCGGATGCCTGTCCCCACAACAGAATTCCATACGACATGATGCTGTGAAAGTAGCTAAAGTACACTAGTCGTGCCGTGCCTACGTCGGTTAGCTGACGGATCTTCCAGACAGCATAAGCTGCCGAGCTCAACCGCCCTGCTAGAGATCTAATGTGGGGCCCCCATTGCAGCTTGTCGTCTACAGTAATCCCCAAGAAAGTGGTCTCCTTTACAAATTCCAGTTTCTGACCATTTAATAATATATCATCGCATACGTTACTTTTAACATTTGGCAAAATAAATCTAATGCATTTCGTCTTTTTATCATTAAGTACTAAGTTGTTTTTTGTGAACCAATTATGAACTTTCGTTAAGGCATTATTCACTTCGCCATAGTTATTTGATCGTCTATTTAATTTAAAAATCAAGGATGTGTCATCAGCGAATAATACCATATGCGGTTCACTTTGGAATAAATGGGGCAGGTCATTGACATAAACCAAAAATAGGAATGGACCCAATATTGAGCCCTGCGGTACGCCCATAGATACGCTAGCACCCTGGGAGTTTACTCTGTTTACTTGTACTGTAAGAAGTCTTTCTAGAAAGTATGATTTTAATAAATTTAGGGATACCCCCCGAATGCCGTAGTGTTGCAGCTTCAGTAATAGCGTTTCGTGCTCAACACAGTCAAAAGCCTTCGAAAGATCGCAAAATATTCCGATGGCATCCTGTGCTTTTTCCCACGATTTGAAAACTTGTTTTATAAGCGATACTCCTGCGTCCGTAGTGCAACGTCCCTTAGTGAACCCGTATTGTTGGTCATGGAAAATAGAATTCGCGTTAAAGTGACGCAGTATTTGAGTAAGTATCAACTTTTCAAACACTTTACTGAGCACTGGCAAAATAGAGACCGGCCTATAGTTATTGCGTTCTGTGCTATCACCTGATTTAAGTAATGGAACTACCTTACTATGTTTCATTAAATCCGGGAAAACCCCTTGATCTACACTTTTATTAAAAATTAAAGTTAAGTAAGGCGCTATAGTCTCTATAAAAGACCTGCACACTCTAACAGACATTCCCCAGAGATCTTCACTGGACTTTACTTTGATATCTTTAAACGCCTTTATTACTTCCTGGGGGTTTGTATGTTTAAACCTAAAGTCCGCAGGACATTCTTTGACGTTACTTCTGAGAAGCTCGACCGCAAGTGCTGGAGATGATTGCAACGTTTCCGTAGTTTTGATGGGAATATTTTTAAAGAAATTTTCGAATTCCTGGGCAACTAATGAATTTGTACTAGTAAATCCCTTTTCGGTTTTTAAATTAAATTCTGTCTTATTAGATTTGTTTCTACCTGTTTCATTATTAATTATACTCCAGGTAGCTTTTATTTTATTTTCCGCGGTCCGGATTTTACTGCTAATATAGAGTGATTTAGCATGCTTACAAACTAATTTAAATATTTTTGAATATTTGGAGACATGCCTACGAAAAGCCTCACTTTTATTAAATGGTTTCATGCCATATAGCTCAAATAACTTTTCTCTACTTATACGAATGCCTGGTGTAGCCCAGTCACTGAATAAAAATTTACACTGGATATTTTCACGTTTTAAAGGGAACATTTTGTCGAACTGTATTTTTATGATGGATAATAAGTTAGCATAGATCTCACTCGGGCATTCATTGTCTTGTAATGGGCTGCATAATTTATGTTTTAAATTTTTATTTAATGACTCAATTTTTTTGTTTGTTATCTGTCTGAATATAATTTCCTTAGTTGCCACAGTTTTAAAAGTATTAAAGTTGACTGTTAGCCCACTGTGATCAGATGGTAATCTGTTTACAATTTCATTATGTAAATAATCACAGTTACAAAAAATATTATCTATACAAGTTGCCGAGGTGGATGTTACTCGGGTAGGCTCAAGGAATATATTAGACAGATCAAAAGATTTAAAAAGACCTAATAAGTTTGTACAATAAGAGTTGTTTTCTAAGAGATCAACATTAAAATCGCCACATACTATTGTATACTTATTACTAGAACACGTTTTCTGTAATACATCTTCCATTACTGAGCAAAATATATTTAAATTCTGTATGTTAGGAGGCCTATAAACACATACTACAATATGCCTATCCAGTTCAACACAGGACAACTCTATTGAGTGCTCAATTGATAGCAGTGCAATGTCTTGCCTTTCTTTATATTTTATTGAATTCTTTACTAAAATCAAGCTACCACCATGTATCATTTCTTTGCGGCTATAATAGTTGCCAACACAATAATTATTGAAGTTAATTGATTCTACTTGATAATTTCTCAATCTTGATAAATTCTAAATGTTTGCCACCTTTAGAGATGATCAAATTCTCTTTATGTATCAGAAGGTCCATACTCCAGCACATGCTATACAAGTAACGTTAGTGTCTTTGAAAAGTATTTTATCGTGTTTAGGGAACAGAAGGTTAAGTTCCCTAATATCGGAAAAGGAGGATCCTCCGACAAGGCTGATCGTGCCTGGCGGGCGACTCCCCACCAATTGTACGTTGGGATTTTCTATTCGTATTTATTAGTGCGGAAATTTCACTTGCGCGATTTAGGATCTGTAACGCCATCTGTTGTATAATGATGCCAATTTTTGGGAGTCGCCACATTTTGTAATTTTACAATGGACTAAAACAAAAAAACTTACGGATATTGGTAAGATTCTTCAACAGGTCCGCGTTCTACAGCATAATAGTTGCCGCAAACTTTTTCAAAAATGTCATTGAACTCTTTGTTGTGTTCATTTGTATTTTCAATCAAGAATATTCTCTCTGAAAATCAAAGAGTATGACTTTACGGCACGGTTGGCGCGGTTGCTAGGCAACTGACCGCTCGCACTCCGTGTCGCGGGTTAAATTCCCATTCGGAACAACTCTTTGTATGATTCAAAAAGTGTTTTTTCCGGGGCTGTGTCTCACCGAGACACCCGTTTATGTTTCATTGTATGTCTGTAAACGCACCCGCGACACAAGAGAAAATCCTAATGAAGAGCAATGGCCTATACCTATTAAATAAAAAATGTTAATACATACGAGCCATTTGCTGACGTTAGAGCATCCATATTTTTTACCGACCATTCACATAAAGGAAAGTTAGGTTATGTTATGTCAGAACTGTAGCCCACGCAGGATGCCAATCGACCTCAGAATACAGAACAAGTATTCTGAGCAATCGGCATAAGAAATAAACAGCTATAAGAATTTTTTAAACAGGCTAAAATGATTGAGAATCGTACTAATAGGTACTCAAAAATTTTCGGTTTTATTAAATGACAGATACAAAAAGTGATAAAACAAAAAATATCTTATCTATAGTGAATTCTTTTGCTTTCTAACAAATATTTTCCTTGCTCTAAGCGATCTAACCATGACTAAGGAAATACTTTACAGATGAACAAAAAATACGAATAGAACTGTTTACCTTTCGCTATCACCATCATTATATTCTGTGGAGACAAATCAACATATTCAGAATTTCCCACTGACGCTCGAAACACAGAAAACAAAACACTGATAAGAACTAATAACACCATTGTTTTACGTATTAAAATAAATAAAAACACTCTTAAAATTAACGCATTAGGTTAATTGGTGCAACTATATCTAGGTCCAATTGTCATATAAAGTGATTAAGGATAAATATAACAGTAATGTGCCTTACCACTGTGATATACATGTTATGTTGTATTTTTCCTTAAATTTATACATAGATTTATATAAAAGGTTTATTATTAATAATAATACTATTAATGATATTTTGGTTTGTGGTGTGCAGTGGTTTGTTTTTCACTGTAATCCGACGTTATTTTTTTTTTCTCTTTTGGAACTCTTTTTAGGTGCCAGTTTTAAACTCTTTATTTTTATTTTAACGCTTGATTCGTACTTTAGAATGGTCTAATTAAAATTAATGACTGTCGGCTTGACCGAAGTGATACCACGGCCTCACAGAAACCCGGCGTAAAACAACCACAGCGTTGTGTTTCGCCGTGTTTCTGTGAGTTATCGGTGGTTATCAGGAGGCACAATCTTTCCCTTATCCCTTTCTTCCCCAAGCCCTAAATTCCCGAGACCCTTATCCAAAAGGAAGGCAGTGGACTGGTAACCATAACCCTGGTAACGGCGTGAAAAATATTCTGGAGTAGTTATTGTCCTCGAGCGGCGCCGATTGCTTGCCATACGACTGCTAGTTTTCTGGCCTATTATACACAGCATAGTACCTAATGAAAAAGTCATAGTCAAATTCACGAGTGAATAGCTTTTTTATATTATTGGTTGAGTAACGCTTACACAGGCGCTAAAATGCTATCCGCGAAAAGCTTAAAAACAAAGAAACCTACATTTTTAGTCTATGGTCGATGCGCGCGCATTGAAAAACTGATAAATTTTTCCCGACATTACGAAATCTTTTATGTTTACTATGTGAAATGGATTTTTATTTAAGTGTTATTTTAGTCAGAAGTGTGTTGAAAAACGTCGTATTATATTGATGATTACAGTCTTCGGCTCGTTAAGACTCAATGCGCCTCAGCGCGTGTGGACGTTTAGCGGTAATCAACGAACGTATCATAATGTACTAATACCTACCAACAGTCTCTAAATGATATATCTATTAAAAAATTAAAGATTGAACATTTTAATTTGCGATCTTTGTTGGCTTCCGAAAAGATAAATCAGTATCACCCATCCACAACTTGCATCCGAAACACCAGAGGAGCTGTAAGTGCTTTGCCATTTTGAAGAGTTGCAAACATTTGAGGATTGGGAAATTTTATATAGGAGGAGAGGATGGAAAAGATTGGGCCACCGGTAACCTCACTCACACAATGAAACACAATGTAGATAGTGTTTCACGCCAAGTTTCTGTAAGGCCTATGATCTCTTTTGTTAATCTTGCAGATCTGGGAGAAATTGCTAATAGCAAGCAGCTATTGGTAGATATTTACAAAGAAAACAACGATTTATAAATTGAATTAATTGGATACATCTTTATTAAAAACAAAACTAAGTCCATAAAATAAAAGCCGTGTCATTTGTGTACAAATAAATTGTATTAAAATATATAAAAATAAAATAATGAGTCTTTAGCCATTGTATTAAAGGTTGCTAGTTTTGATCTTTATAAAAGAAAATCTATAGTCCATTATAAATACATATTTATATACATTGTTACGTTGTAATTTTGTGTATGTATACCGATAAATATTTATGTAATGCCAAATTACGTTCAAGACAGTTGATTTCAAAATTTAATACCAAGGCAACAGAATTTTATTCATATTGCTTTGGTCCAGAAATTTGGTTAAGATGTTAAAAGTAGACTAGGTTGTCTCTCTGTTATGGTTTTAAAGTTAAACAGAGTTGTAAAGAGCCTGCTTGAGAGCTGAAGCAGCTGATCCAGCGTTGCCTGAGGGAAGAGCTGCCAGGAACTGAAAATTTAATAACAAAATTGTTACAAAAATACACCGATATTTTTACTCCACGCTTCTTGTTAAGACATATTACGATTTTGAACTGAAACTTTTGAGTGCTCGTCTAGTTTCAAGCTACGAACGGGGCCCATAAATTGAAACTCGACTAGTTTCAATTTATGGGCCCCGTTCGTAGCTTCATCATTCTTCCCAATCATTTTTCCCAAAAAGCTCTAAGTGTTATGAGCCATTGTTCCATTTTGAGCAGGGATAAGTCAAACCAGTAATGATGAGTCACAATGTTGGAACTTACGTTAGCTGCCTGTGGAAGAACGTTCTGGAAGGCGAGGTTAACTGATGGCAGGGACACTGCGGTGAGGATAGCACCAGCGTTGTTGCTGACCACACTGAAGCCCTTGTACAAACGCTTAGCTGCGCAGTATTGTTCGTTCACCAAACTGGAATGGAAATTAGGATATTAACCTTTCAGTCATGGTAATTCGAGAGACAATAGAAGAACTATAGGTTCCTGAACGCGTTCGCTTGGGTTTGATGAATTAAAGACTATTTTGTGATGGAGGAATATCATCTAATGTCTAGTCCACCATTACTACTTCTACCCTGAGTAGTGTGTCTTGGTGAATCATTACGCTTGCCCCGCAGCCCCATTTGGACATCGCCTATTTTAGGCATCATCTGTGGGGTGGTATGATGGCTCTTGGAGACGCAGGCGGACCGTGACACGCTGTGCGCTCAAGTCTGGTTCTGTTCTAGCAGTGCTACCTTTGCTGCTGACCAGCGCTTCTGTTACCCAGCATATATTGTATTGTGGGATCTCGCTATGCATATATTATGTAGTATGTATGATTATTGTGTGGTGTTCTGTAACGTCAGCGGTTAGGACCGATCGCACCAGTATCAGTCGCAAATAAATGTTATATTATTTGATTCCGTAATTTCATTAAACGGCACACAGAGTACCTGAATTATCTTCCATAACTATTGCATTGGATAAGCTAATAGATACTTCGTCAAGCAGAACCTTTGCCGTTAAATGTTCATCATTACATTTAACAAACGGTTTGGAGTTAAGACACCGAAAACACACCCACAGGATGTAGCTTTGCATTAACCTTAGGTAATTAAATAAGATTCATTGTGATTTCCTTACTGGACAGATGAAGATGGGGCGGAGGCAAGGATGGAGTCCCAGGCTGCTTCGAATTGGTAGTTTCTGCCACCAGCAGCGCAGTTACCACGAGGTCCAACCTGCAGATAACAAATATACATTGTTGAACGATAGGAAATTAACAGTAAAAGACCACGACCAAGGTAATTTAAGATATATATTATATAGGTAATTATTATTTTAAATGCGGTTTGTGTGATCTATAGTTTCTCTATAGTCAAAATGTATTCTTTTTTTGCATTTCATATGAATAACTAAGGGATAATGAAGTAACATGTCTTGTCTTGTCGTTTTAACTGATTTTTTTATTGCGTATCGGACTGGTATTTGGCCGTCTGGTGGTAAACAATGATGCAACCTGCGCGTGCTATGTAGTATGCCTACCCATAAGCAACCTATTCACTCGGGGCTTGATGAGACCCAGGTATAACTTACTATCTTCAAGCCCCTTTCACATACCCTTCTAGTATATATGAATTGTATGTTTGTAAACACACCCACAACACTGGAGAAAATTCTAATGATATTGGACGTCTGAGTAGAAAGCGTACATTATTACATGACACTAAAAATTGGCGACAATCTATTAATAAAAAACCGCAAATCGTACATCCTATTAATAAAAAAGTTGCAATATCATTGTAGTACATCAAAAGAATGATCGTTAATCAAATACGGAGAAAAACCATTTGTATCAATAACGACAGTGGGTCGAAATTGTTTAGACGATAGACAATATTGGGATAGTGCGGTGATGGATGGCCACGTGTGATTAATGGGGGCCATTTTACGTATGCATTGCGTTTGCAAGTCATCAACTGTTCTGTTATTTGTTCAAAATGAACTCAAGCCACGGGCGAGGAAATCGATTGCTTCTGTCATGGTATGACCTAAGTGCTACAAAATAAATGTTATCAGCCATTGTTGTAATTTGCCGTGTGAGTGATGTTACTGGAGGTCCGATTCTTCCCCTCCCTTCCTTTTTCCCCAATCCTTAAATCCCCAAAACACCTTAACCCCAAAAGGCCAAACTCTGGTGTAACGGGTGTCCATTGCCGGCGCTGATTGCTTACCATCAGGTAATAAGTCTGCTCGTTTGACGGTGATATATACCATAAAAAATATACCATACAATATTATGTTAGAACTACTTCAATCTGGAAATTAAAGAAAATATCTAAATTGAAGAAGTAAACACTTGATTTGGAATGGAGTGTTCTCGTGTTCCTTTTCTTCGCATTCATCAAATGCATATATCGTTGAAACTTACTGCAAAGCGCATGGATTCAGAGTTGACAGACAGTTCAACAATGTTGTCGATGAGGGAGCTCAAATAGCTGACGAATTTGGCAGTGGCTGAGCGAACAGCTTGGTTGTTGCCGGAGCGGGAAGCTGCCACGACGGCGTTGATCAACTGGAAAGATACAAAACACGTGACAAATATCAAAATTCAGAATTGAACATTGTAATTTTGTTTCTACAAATATCGTTGTTCGCTAAGAAACTACACAAGGTGTGGGAGAGCCAAACTTCGCCACGAATGGGTCGACTCGAACGGAGTACCACCGCCTCACACATAACCGGCTAGAAACCACAGCGTGGTGTTTCGCAGTGTGAGTGAGGTTACCGGAGGTTCAATACTTCTTCTTCCCCTATCCCTCCCTAATCCCAAAATCTCTGAAACCCTAATCCCCCAAAAGGCAATGCACTCCTAACTCATCTGGTTTTGCTAGTGTTCATGGGTGAAGGGTTTTACCTGATGGCATCATCAGGCACATTTTTGCCAAACTATAAATTAAAATTATTAAGAATTTGCCGTAAAATTTTCAACCACAACGCTAAATTTCATCAAGGCTTTAAATGACTAAGAGATAGGTTCTTTTTTCTGACAATCTGGTGGCTGAAAAATGATTTATTGCAAAGGACTTACGTCAGCTGCAGCAC